AATACGCAACACCACGGCGAATGATGAATAGTAATCATTTTTACCGCGTAAGTTTGGGTATAAACCACAGCCTACGACACTGCAAACCTCAGTTGAATAGGACATTTGTTTCGGTTTCTACAAATCTCTCTTAATGGTATAAAATTAGTAGACGAAAGATCCATTGAAAATCACTTCTCCATGCTTTTCGACGATAAACCTCAGAAGTTGTAGACTAATGGATTTATAAAGGTAGTCGAAAAATGGCACAAAGTTATAAATAAGCACAGCCAATATAAACTTTATCAAAACTAATTTTCAATAAAAACATTTTTGTTTAAAAAATCGGTGGATACATTTCATTATTATGTTGCGGCTAGTTGAGTCAGTGCACCTGAACACTTTTATTTTCTATTAACTGCGAGGTTTCTTCAAAACCCCTCTTTGCGCCTAGACTGGATTATTGTTTATCACTTCATCAGACTAAGCAATAATTGACCTCAGATCTGTATATCTCCTCGAGGAGCCTGTAACCATTCTGAGATTCGATAACGCGGTGTTAGTAAGTCTGTCAGATTTCGCAAATAATTTCAGGGCTCTATCCTTTATGTATTTTTTGATGGGATCAATCTTGAGGTCCCTGAGGATGTCATTCGTTCTAATGTATCAAGGAACTTTGAAAAGTCTTTTCAGAGCCTGGCTTTGTACAATTTCTAACTCGTTTGAAGCTTTGCTAAACGCTACACAACCATATAGAAGTGACGGACGAATTATTTGGTTATATATCAGTTTCCTTAGCATTGAAGTTTTTATTTCTAAATAGCGGTTGGAGGTAATGAAGAATTTTGAATTTCATATCACCTAATATTTAAATATATTTATTTTTAAATAAATAAATTCAATAACTTGAGTTGTTGAGGTTTTACAGAAGGTTTACGATTACTGAAACCAAATTAGCAGAGGATGTCATAGATAAAGCTAGAGCTTTATGTTTAATAACATTCCTTATAGGAAATTCCCTTCCGAGTTATTAAAATGAACAATTTTTCTATATATTGTAATGTAATGACTAAAACTATGTAGTATTCCCATAAATGCTGAGACTAAGTCAATAAAAATCCGTTTATTCAAATCATTAATTTGGGTTAGGTTGGGATGAAGTGGGTTGAACACGAACTGAGCGCAATTGTTAACCCGTTTCGATTAATCATTAACTACTAAATTTTTAAAAATTTAAACTAATAAAAGAAAAGAAAAAAAAAATTTTTGTATCCTCTCAAAGGATATATACAACTCTAAATAATTACAGCGATTTATATAGATCACAGCCAAATAAAAATATTTTATTAGTTGAACATTTTTATTTTCTATGTTTTTTAAAATTGGAAGCAATTTTTAAAAAAAACAATTTTAATTTTTTTAAATTTTGCTATAAAGTTTTTTGATTCTAGGAACTTTAGTTTTTAAATTTTTTTCTAATAATAATTTATTTCTTATGAGAATTTGTCACAAACAGTTTCATAAGCAGTCGTGGCCGAGTGGTTAAGGCGTCTGACTCGAAATCAGATTCCCTCTGGGAGCGTAGGTTCGAATCCTACCGGCTGCGAAGATTTTTTAATTTATTTTTTTTTCTATCAATAAATACATTTTCATTACTTCTTTACTAAATTATTTTTCAAACAAATAACTAATAAATTATATTATAATATATAGTTTAATTATTACGATTTTTGTAGCATATTAATTTAATTAAATTCTAAATATAATTTATATTAAATACTTTATAACATATTTTAACCAAACATGTGGTAGTTTTATTTTATTATTTTTATTCTGATTTAGTTTTTAAATTAAATGTGATAATAAAAGTTTTTTTTTTTTTTAAAAATAAACTTTATTAAAAAAACAATAAAACCATAAAAAAAATCTATAAGCCAATTGTTGATGAATGATGATTAAATTAGAAAATATGTAATTTTTTTATTAAATCAATTTAAATATAAAAAAGCAACCATGACGTGGAGAAGAAAGAGATTTACCGGCTACAATTACTTGGTATACACAGAAAAATATTCTTATCAGAAGAAGAGTTATACACACTACGAGAATCACAGATATTCAAAGATTGACAAATTGAGTGATGTGGCCGATTTTATGATAATTTATTTTTTTTAATAGTAACAAATTTATTTTTTTGGCATAAAATATTATTTATGCATTTTCAACCTTTAATTAAAATTTAATTGAGAATTACACCAAACGATGCAAAATCAGTATAATTCTTATTCTGAGTTTGCTTATTAACATTAATGGCAACACACACACAACATTTATTAACATTATATAAAATATTCCATGCAATAACATTAATTCAATGTTCAATACACTTTTTTTATAATGCTTGCAAAATAGATTTCTGAAATTTTTGTGCTTTTAAAATTTGAATCAAATTTATTATACACAGTGAGAATTGTGACGTCAACAAAAGTAAATAAACACATATGGGGAGAAAGCTAAAATTCTATTTGCTACTTATCCAGATGTGTCTATAAAAATTCTTACCTGCGAGCCCAAATACAATCACAGCAGGTAAATAGAATGCAAAATTTGGGATACTTTGCTGGAATGGTGATGATGAGCCGGTCAAATCTACCATTTTTACTTAAAAATATGATTAAAAAAACTTTGTCCAAAAACGGATCGGAATGAATACAGAACTTATTAAAGTGGTTCAACTAGCCACGATGACACTCTGGAGAAAGTAGTTGCCGGTTAACAAAGCTAAGAAATAGAGTTGCCATATTAATTATAAATATTTTAAACTTAATAGTTTTAAAACTTGGTTTTGTTTAGTAAACTGTTTGAGTATTATCCGAACATAAGTAAGTACAAGTAACATATTTAGTTTTAGTTTTTTCATAAAAAAATTAATCATTTAAATGGTTTATACCAATGTCAAATAATGTTCACATATTAGGTTCGTTCTACGAGTTACTCGTAGTAAAATTGAAATAAACTACAAATAAAGTACAAAATGAGAGCGTAACGCAAATAAAGTGTCAAATTACGTTCTTCAGACAGATTTTCATGGAATAGATTTGCGTGAAATCTAATGAGAACACCAGTACCGCGCAAATAAACAATACAAAAATTTTTATTCAAACCAACGCATCACACAAATTTTACTTAAAATAATATGTACGAGTAAATTTTGTGTAGTATTTTTAAATTTCGGCATGGATGTTACGCTCTCTCAGGTGCTCTCATTTACTGGAAAATGAAACGCACTTGTGTATACATAAGGTTAGTCAAAGTTACTACGCGTAGCTCGTGGAATAGACCTATTATTATATAATAGTTTATAAATATATTTAATAAAAGTGCTTGAACTTATATAAGCAAATTACAAAATAACAACAGCTTATTTTAAAAATGGCATAAGCACAAACTGCAGATTTATTTATTATTTATTAATAGCCGTAATTTTTTTCTTTCAGAGTTGTAGAAAAACAACATTAGGTCTGGATAAAATAAATTAACATAACTTTTAAAATATGTTAAATTATTTTTTGACATATGTTTTATGGTGTGTTGTCTATATTATAAAATATAAAAATTGTAAATACTGAAAATTAATTAACTTAAATAGAAGAAAAAATTAATATTAGAAAGGTAATGGTAAGCATTTTCATCTTATATATTTAAATAATTTTACTTATTTATGTACTTGACTTTATTAGAAAATTAAATGTTCATATAATTTTAACGGATGACTGGAATCTTGCAATATATTTCCAGTGAACAGTTGTTAAACAAAAATATTTGTTTATTATTTTAAATTTGTTTTTAACAACTTATATATATTAGGCTACAATTTCGGTTTGAGTATTATTTTAAATTTTTTGCTAAAATTAATTTTAATATATTTAATAATATATAAAAATATACTCAGTACACCATCTATCACTACGACTTTGTCATGCATTGAAACGAAGCATTTGACAGCATTTTGAGTGTTATTAACTAAAGTAGCGCCTATTTTATGTTCATTTTTTAAAATGCTTAAAAAAGATTACGCTTATTGTGCAAAACATTACTGCTGCACATTGGTTTTCCTTTTTGAATACTTTTGTTTTGTAATAATAAAACAATGCAAGCTTCATATGCAAAGCATTCACATTCACAATTACATAGAAACTCGTTTTATAAATTAGCTAGTGGTTTTTAAAAAAAAGAATAATACTCATAATTTTTGTATAAGTTTTAAGATTTATTTATAGGTGCTTTCGGCAGCTGTTAAGTGTGGCCAAAAATATCAATTTGCTCGCTTAAAGTTGCTAAAATATACGCAAAACAACAACATCACGTAATAAGCGAACTGTTGTTTTCATTAGAAATTTCAACGTTTATTCTAGGCATATCTCAGAAAATTGTAAACAAAAATTAAAGCAAAATTAAAAAGTTTCACAAATATTTTAAAAATATTTAAAATTATGGAAAATAAATACTTAAAATATATACACAAAACTTTTTGGAAATACTTGAAGGAAGTATAATTGAAAGGTGAATTAAAATTCTTAACTTATTTGTTACTAAAAAGTTTACACATATTAAGCATAAATATTAACTACTTTTAATTTTATTGTAAAAGGAAACTTCAAAATTTCCTGCATTCTGTACATTGCTTTTAGTTTATTATTTATTTTAATTTTTAATTTTAGCTTTAGTATTATTTTTTAACAAAATATATTTTGCTTGCCTTGCACATTTGCAAGATTGGCTCTTTGCGAAAAAATTAATTTTTGACAGATTGCAACAGTTATGTCATATCTCGCTTAGCGCCTATAGTAAGCAACTTGCTATTTTTTGCCGTGCTTAACAGCAGCCGAAAATACCTATTGTACATAACATAAAATCCAAGTTAAAAAAACTTTAGTATTTAAAAAAAAACCAAGCTGGCATCACAAAATTTTTCAATTCCAAATTATTTCCCTAAGGGAATTTTATATGACAACAATACATGACATTTTGTTGAAAATCACATTAATTGATTTCGTTTCACTAGCCAAAAGGAATCCAAAGTTCTAGTTAAAAAAAATGAAGGTGGTATATAACGCTTTGTTTAAAAGGACTTCAACATATGTGTTGGCAATTATGGGCTCAGTGTTCTTCTTTGAGAGAGGAATGAACGTGCTTGCTGATACTGCCTTCGATTCCTACAACAAAGGCGTAAGTCATTTTCACAATTATGTAAGAATTTTTTTAAAAATTGTATATTATTTTGCAGAAATTGTGGAAGGACATCAAGGGAAAATACGAGTAATTTAATTCTTTTAAAATATGTTAAATTTCTTTAAATGAAATATTCGATTTAATTAGAATAAATTTAAAATTTTATTGAAAACGATAACAGTTTTTTTATTTTTTGCTTGGTGCTAATATTGCTTCACTTTCTGGAACTTCCCAAGGTTTTTCAGGTCTGTATTGATCCCATGGCAAAATAGCTTTCAACTGTTCTGGTTCCTTCAGCGCAATACCGTTTTCTTCCACTACTTTAAGAAATTTCTCCACTTTTCCGCCCGGAGTTGCTTCTATCTTACACATAATTTCAGTTATTCCTGATCGAAGGCAACGTTGCGCAAACACTCGTGCGGTATTTATATATGCGCTAGCATCGTTCGTTTTAAACAACTGTTTTTTAATTGCCCACTCTGATGAACTGGCTGTTACTACTGGACCATTTTCGAAATGCTTTACTTCAGCTGTAATATAACGATTAGTAATATTTAGTTCCAATTTATGCCAATAAGAACGTCCAGGTTTTTCCAATAAATAACCATTTGGTTTATAAGCAACACGTAATTTTTCCAGATTTCGTGGGTTACGATTTATCACGTATTGTTGACCCTCTTTTGGCAAAGATAACTTTTTGAGTTTTCTTAGCACACGAACTGGAGTTAAAGGCTGAAAATGTCCTGACATTATTTTAACCTATCGCTATGTTTATGTTATTGCACTAAACTGCGGCACTTAAGCCAGATGTATATCAAGAGCAGGGCTGTTATCTTTTTAATGCCAAATATTTGCAAAACAGGGTTGGCACGAACGTAAGACAGCATAACGTAACATCGCACATGCCGTAAAGTTTGCTGAAGCATATTGCATATCTGAAAAAATTATCATCTCTTGATATTTTTAGTATTAACTACTGTAGAATATTAATGTTTACTTAAAGATCTATACCTTTAACGAATAAAAATGTGTTAACTGATTTCGTATTGAATCCCACTCAGAAAATAAGCCACAAATAAATTATACTTAAATTAAGAATTATAATTATATAAGCATCATTTTATACAGAAAGTAATGCTGATATCAAATTTGAAACTGTTGCTGTTTTCAATGTATCCATTCGGCATATAACTGTAAACAATGGCGCAAAACTAAATATATAAGATTCAAAAATCTATTATAAGTAACACACTTAATTTGTTGACATCATTTTATAGTTCTACCAACCATAAGTTGTGAGCATTTTCTTTCAGATAAGTGCTTTGAAAATAGTTGGGTTACATTATTATGTGGTATCGGTGTTTCATACAACCTTCTTAAATAAATGGTTGCCTAATTGTAATATGCTTACAAAGAATGATGCACTCATACATCATGATTCTGTTGATCTACTATTATGATCGTTTTTAATAAAAACACACAGATGTTTACAATGTATTTTATTATTATTGTTCTTATGGATAGTGTTTTCTGCACTGGTGTTCTCACCAGATTTTACACAAAGCTGTTCCATGAAAAATTGTGTCTAAAGAGCGTATTTTGGCAATTTATTTGTGTTACGATCTCAGTTTACACTTTACTTATGTTTTACTCAAGTTTTACTACGAGTAGCTTGTGCAACAGACTTAATATTAGTTTATATGTAATGCGGTTAATTACGTGTAACGTAAATGAAACATTACGCGCATTTTTATACGTTGTCAAAAATATTCGCCGCTGTACATGTTTACATTTAGGCATGCGGTTCCTTTATAATATATGCTATCAGCTGTTCTGGATTTGGGACAAAATACTTAAGTTGTGTCTTGCGCTATGAAAAGTTTACATAGACGTTATTACCATAATTAGTTGTATTTAATTAAATAAAAAAATATAAACATATCAGTAAATTATGTTGAGGTCATATCAAGATCTAAACAGGATGCTGCATTTGGGGCGGTTCGGAGTAACGGTTCTGCAGAGGGTAACCTGCTGCACGACTTCTGTGCCAGTCCGAGTAAGTGCCATGTGGAACACGTTGTGACTTATTGAATAATTAGTATTGGGTTTCGCCTATCAAATGACCCTCACAATATGGATTTTTAAAGCCTCAATTGTTTAAGGACGCATATATGTCGACAACATATGCATTTTAACCATGGTCATTTGAATTAAATTTTGCTTAATCTTTGTTTTTCTTACTTTGGCGCAATTTATTTTATAATTCCGATTTTTGTTTATAAATTTTAAAAGTTCTTTATATATGTGTTTAGTTTTATGTTATTAAGTTAACCTAAAATATAAGTATTATTTATAATTGAATTGTATAAAAGTATGTATTTAGCATCCTATCAGTTACTATCGGGTTCGAGTTATCAAAATCAAATTATTGTAATTTTACAATTTATTGGTCTTATCATAGCATAGATAGATTATTTTTTTCATTTTTTTATTGAGTGCAACTGTTGGAGCCATAAAACAATTAGGTAAGTGAACAGTCAGTCTCACTTATCACAGTTGAATTCACCGCTGTGTAATAAATTTCACTTCAATCCAGTACGCATTGTAAGCTCCCACCGTTCGGTCGTGTAACAGTCGATTTAAATTTGAACTGAATATCGTAATACCTCTGACAATTATTCAAAATTTTTTGACATTTGCTTTGCTTAAATAAGAAAATTTTAATATATTTAATGTGTAAAAAAAGTAATCGAGGAGATAAATTAAGATTATTAGTTTTTATATAATTTGCTGTGAAATAAATTCTCCACACTTTCTATTTCATGAGTAATGTTTTTGGTAAATCTCTTGTATTGACGAGCATGTGTTGCGCATTGAATGCGCTTCCCCATCTCTGAGTTGGGGAAGCCTTTCGCTTCCCTTGCACTCCGTTTTGGCTCATCAAAAATTTCTCTTTTATAGTGAATAGAAGAATGCATTCTAAATGCAATGAAGACTTTTTGTGTTTTCTTATTAAAAGTGTGAATAGTCTTTTATTTGTGTTAACCCAGAAATATTATTTCTTTTTTATATAAAATTAATTAATTAATTAATATTTATCTTGATTTTCTTTTATATATAGTTGAAACATAAGAATGTGTGTAAGAAAATAACTGTTAAATTTAAAAATGTAAACAAATTTATGAAAATTGAATAGAAACCATGTTGATCAAAATTTGTTCAACCGATTTTAGCAATTAGGCACAGTGTATAATGTGTGAAATAAACAAAGCAAAACTATCCCTCCGTCCGCAGTACCACTTTCAACAATCCCAGACTCAGACAAAAGCGCAGCCCCGGCCGAAGCCGCTACTGGAACCTGCAGTACAGCAGCAAAAGCCTACTATGCCACATAATATTGATTGGATATTTCATCGCCTTAGGCATCCTTCAAAGCTCTGGTATATTGTCAGCCAAATTGCTGTAACAGCAGTTGGATTATTTAGTAAATTTGTTTTGGGTAAGTGAATTCTTATCACTAAATAATTTATTTAAGCTAACTTAAAGTTAAAAAAATATTAGATTAAATTTCGTTAAAGATCCATTTACAAAAATTTTCACAAAAAATCATTCGATTAGCGCAAAGACTGATATATTCATGTATATGAAATCATATAGACTAGTCGACAGATTTAAAGGCAGGTAATATGACTGTTATCACAATGGGCAATATATGTCTCCGACAACTGTCTGCACACGCCTTCTGAACCTAGAACAGAGCCTTCTGACTGTTCTATTATATGTATTAATAGAAATATATTAATTTTGCAACTTTTGGGGACTTATAGAGTAGGAAACATGAATGGATTAGAAAATAAATAAATGAATGAGGATGTCCTATAAAAAAAAAGATAAGAACGAGAATAGAATAGGAAATAAAAATGGATTAGAGGATCAATAAATGAATTAGGATATTCTATAAAAAGAAACTAAGAAAGGGGATAAAAAAGGAAATATAAATGGCTTATAAGATGACTAAATGAAATAGTAATGCTGTATGAGAAGGAGCTAAGAAGGGGGTTAGGATAGCAAATAAAAATGGCTTATAAGATGACCAAATCAGACGGTAATGTTGTGTGAGAAGGAGGTAAGAAGGGGGTTAGAACAGGGAATTAAAATGGCTTACAAGATGACTAAATGAGTTAGTAATGTTATATAAGAAGAAGGTAAGAAGAGGATGGGAGAAGGATGAAACTTTAGCTTCTATTTATTTATTGATATTTTCAACTGATAATGATCAATAATAGAAATTGAGTTTCAGCAAATAATAAACTGATTAACTAATACGCAAAACAATAACTTGAACTAGGCGTGGAACTGTTCCACATTCTGGTGCAATATAAAATTATAAAATATAAATTAAAAGTTATATTAGGGATATTCAGGCGTTGCTAGGTAATTTGGTATTTGGTAAAATAACAAAATGACGAACGTCTGCACGCCCCTTTTTAATTCTTTTTCAGAAAAGTTGTAAAATAAAGCTGTTAATTCAGTTTTTGTTTATTTTGTAATTCTGTTAATTTTGTTGTTGTGAATGACAAATAATGTAAAATTTTTATTTTATTAATTATTTATTTATTTCTATCAGAGGCTCACATTTCATATTACTAATTAAATTTGAATTTTGTGCAATACTTCACAATAATAATAATCAATCAGTTGGTGTTCTGAATATCGAAAAATATATCAGACCTGCCCGGTGATAATTCTCGGAGAACGTTATAATATCGTAAAAACAATAGCTCAAAATTTTATCACTTGACTGAATATCCCCGCATGTCTAAATACTGCTAATGGAACCACAGGAGTAGATAGAAACACCTGCGAGATCCGATCGCTCCTAAAACCATGTCATTAATTTAAAAGTCGGTATTATATACAGTCGATTTATAATCATTGGAAGTTCGTTTTTAAAGCTTTTCATTTTGTTGTATATATTATTTAGCTAATTATTTATGCTTTTAAAAATCTACGACGTGACAAAGAAGGTATTCAACATTTTACAAAACCACTGATTCAATACTATATTTTATATTTTAGTTATTAGGAGTTCCTTTCTGTTGGACTCTGAAGGGCTTCTATTTTAAACCTTTGTTGTTATTATAGATGCTTGTTATACATTATTATGCATTATATCGTTTGATCCGGCTCTCTGTGTAGAGCTTCGTTCAAAGTTTTTCGCAAAAACTTTGTAACTGATCCATCAATATTTCTTGTTTTCTACTTATCCTTACTTTGGGCATTGACCGAAGTATATCAGTTATTGAAGATTATTTTTATAAACCTCGTTCTGTTATATAGTTTCTCACGTTTTGAGGTCCTATAAATAGTTGATGGAATTCATAACAACTTTCGATATAACTTAAATTTAAAATCTTTAATCTTGCGTTTGTTCATAGTTGGGTGAATCTATTTGATAGCTACTATATCTATTATTTCAAGCTTTGTAAAAACTATAAAATTAGACTGTTACCTTTTTTTAGTTTAATTATTATGGTATGTAATTAGTTTTGGTAATTTTAACCACTATAAAAATCGTTTCAAAACCCATTAAAGCAGTATTATTTATCAAATCGTGGACTACGTAATAAGTTTCATTGGTTTATAAGTATGCATTTCGTTTATGACCTAATGTTTATAAGCTACACGACACCTCCGTTCAAGTTACTGATAGATATCGAATTTTTATTATTCCTATGATATGTATCTTAAGAAAATATAATAAAAATATAAATTTGAGAACTGTAAGTAAACAAAGTTGTTGTAGACGTCGTTATCTTTTTGCTTTGGTAGGAGATTTGTGAAAAAATTTGCTGAGCTTTCTTGAATTTATTTCTGTAAAATTATATATTATTAAATAATACGCATATATATAAATATGCGTATGAACCTGAACATAAACAGCAGTCGACTTTATGGGTGGTTTAAGATGAACCAAATCCAACAAAAATTGTTCGTGCTCAAAGCACTTCGTAACAAATGGTCATTTGTTTTTTCGGGAAAAGACAATGTGAGTGCTCACACATCTCGTCTAACAACCGACTATTTAAACATTCAAAAAACCGAATTGATGGGTCATCCACCGTACAGAACCCAATGATTTCTTCTTGTTCCCGAACGTCAAGAATAAATTACGTGCACAAGGATTTTTGTTGTCCAACGGCTGAAGAAGCCGTTGTTGCAATTAAAAACCATGTTTTGGACGTGTCTGAAGAAGATTGGTAAAAATGCTTGGACAAATGGTTCAAACGCATGCAAAAGTGTATAAATCATAAAGGAAAATACTTCAAGAAAGAATAAAGCAATTTTCAACGCACAAGTTAGTATTTTTTCTTTGTTAGGCTCAAAAAATAGTAGCCCTCGTATTGATGACCCTCGTATAATAAACCCAAAATTACAAGTATAGAAATCTACACTAAACAAATTCAATATTATAATCCTTAGAGTAGCCGAAGACCCAATTATCTATACAACAGATTGAAGAGATGGCTTAAAGTAGAGCTATAATTTTACTAGAAAAGTTAATCTATTGATATTAGAAACAGTTTAATGGAAATGATGTGTCATGACTCTATGGTCTCTATAGATGTTAAATGTAGGTATAGTACCATCGTCAATCCTTTATAAAGGAGCAATTTTTAATGGGACCTTACATTACTTTTCTTTTGCTATACTTTGGGTCTGTTATTATTTTGACCTTTTTTTTTCTAACTCTGATTGTTCTATTTTCTACATTTTGATTTTAATATTAATTTCTCATAAAATGTTTTACGGTTTGTTTCTCTTTTGCTCACAATGTCATTACAAATTTATATAAATAAAATGTATCTTGCGTTTGTGCCACGGTCATTTAATTATTGTGTCTACGATTTTCAATATCACATCACGTGTTGTTTACTAAAAAAAGTTGCTATTTTCTGTTGTTACTCGTATTAACGTCACCAATCTGAGATGTGAGAGTGGAAATGTATTTGCACAATGCGGCTGCAGTGCCAAAACAAATTGTTCTCATATCCAACGTTTACATATCAGCTACTTCCTTTATATTAAAATATTTTACTACAAAAAACTGTAATTAGCAAATGATAATTATTAAAAAAAGGTGCACTTTAGATTAACAACACTCTGTTCTATTATCTCTTCTTGTATACTCTGAACTTGTCTACTTTGAACTTTAAAGAGGGGTTAAATAATGCATCGCATATAAATAATCACAATATTCTAATCAATATTCATAATAAAAAACTATAATTATATATTGAATGTACTCAGTAAAGATAAGAATGTGAAACTGTTTCGTAAACAATTTATAGAGTTTCCGCATTAAATACCTTTAAAAAGTGGAAAGAGTAGATAGATAGGTAAATGAAAAGGAAGAAGAATTGAAGCTTGTTTATCGATTTTATCTTTAACACTTCCGATTTAGTTCTATACAATAAGTCCTTTGACTCTTTCTCTATTTGGAGTATAACATAGGCTATGGCTGCTGAAGCAATGTTAGTCCAAATTCTGTTGGTCTTTCGTCAGTGACTGGCGGAGGCAGGGTTTAAAACGGGATGTTTAGAGTATACATGTAGAAACCAACTTAATGAAAAGATCAAAACATTGAAAGATGAAAGAATACAACCTGTTTCTCTTGACCTGACTGCTGAAGCAATGTTAGTCCAAATTCTGTTGGTCTTTCGTCAGTTGCTGGCGGAGGCAGGGTTTAAAACGGGATGTTTAGAGTATACATGTAGAAACCAACTTAATGAAAAGATCAAAACATTGAAAGATGAAAGAATACAACCTGTTTCTCTTGACCTGACTGCTGAAGTAATGTTAGTCCAAATTCTGTTGGTCTTTCGTCAGTTGCTGGCGGAGGCAGGGTTTAAAACGGGATGTTTAGAGTATATATGTAGAAACCAACTTAATGAAATGATCAAAAATTTGAAAGATGAAAGAATACAACCGTATATGCAACCTTTTATGGTTCTAAGGAAGCTGTTGTCGATGTATCGACAAGATTGTCGACAATATTAATGACTGAATATCAATATATGACAGTTAGAGTTCTGTAGTTCATAAGGATATGTGGTTTCTTAAAGACTGACTGCAACACAATTCGAATTAAAAGATTTTCGCTTTTAATCCATTTTTATGTGGCAAATATTTTATTTTGATTTATTTTTATTATGTATTTTTCTTTTATCAGTTTTTCTAAAGATGAAGAAATGATGGAATTTGTCGTAATCTATCAGTTCTAGTGTAACCTACACATATCTTCTTTGCTGATGTCTCCATCAAACGAAAAACAGATAATGGTTTAATAATAGCCCTCAGCTGTGTTTGTGTTAGTATAGGATATTTTCTAAGAAGGGATAGCACAATAGATTTCATAAGTTGTAATTGTCCGTCCTATAATAATGACATTAATCTCATCTCTTTATTTGCTATTCTAATTTTAATAATAAGATAAGA